TATTTTCTCCCTGCCTGAAAGTGTCCGTATTAATATTAAAATTACAATTAGCGGGTGAAACATTTAAAACCTCTTGATGGGACATGAAAAATGACAGGGTTGCCAGACTGGGCAGGGCAGGAGGGGGCTCTGTACCGGTCCTGGCAGTTCTTGCTGCCGTGGTTTGTGAACATGCTTGTGCCATTGCAAAGCACAAAGCCCCGCTCCCCTCCTGCCCTTCAGCTAAAGCACCCAGGGTGGTGCAACGCCGGCAGCTTTAGTGGAGGGCAGAGGGGCTGGGGGGCTGACTGAGCAGGTCACAGCATCGGCACGTGCGGAAAGGATGGGGCTGGCTCTGTCGGTGTCGGCATGTTGCCCTAGCAGAGCTCCAGCAGCTCCGTGAGGACCAGCCCAGCCCCTCCCTGCGCGTGCGGGAAGGATTTGTGGGGCTCCCCGTGGAAGTGAGCATCCTGACCTCTCACAGGTGCCCTGTTTGCATGATGCGGGATGTTAAATCTTGCCTTAATGTGACTGCCGAATACCAGTTTTTGTGAAGTGTGCCGGGCACTTCCCCATAAATAAATGATGGAGCATTATTCAGTCCACTTAGATCAATACATCAGCTTGACAAGTTCCAGTTCTGGGAATTTTCTGACCCCCTGGAACATCTTCTCTGCAGCTGTGCTGCTTATAAACCACAGTGTGTAGCCCAAACAAGCTCCAGGGAGTGGGGCATCAGGACCCGGCTGTGTTGGTGCTGCCACCTTGCTGGCCCTGGCATTGCTGGGGACAGGGGCTGGTTTGCACTGGGATTGCAGCAAGGGCAGGCAGGGTGAACCTGGTGCAAAACTAGGCACTGTTTTTACAAGAACTGGACAAATCCTGCGTTCTTCCCCCTGCAAGCAGCACCGTGGCACTGCCCAGCATCGCTGGTGTGCCCTCCGTGCGCTCCTGCCTCAGCTGAGAGGACCATCTTTGACCCACAGCGCTACTAGAAGTGGTCCATGGAGCTCTTGTTTCAGGCTCTTTGCAAATTGAGGCCGATGTGGCATGGCCACCAGGAAGTTTTGTGACCCGGTGCAACAGGAGAGTGATCTCAGACCCTCTTTGCTTTATTATAAAGCCAGCACCAGATGCTGTGATTCTGCGCACACAGCATCTCCCTGCCCCAGGCTGCTGTACCCCCATGTCTTATCCTCTAATAGCTCCCCACCTTTGTTTTTTGGATTTTCTGCAGGTTATGTGAGGTACGGGTTACCTAAGGACTTACCTCCCTGTACTGACACTTTTAACAGGGTGTGGATTTGTGGATTATCTGTGGTGCTGGCTCTATGCATGGAAACACAGTATGTTCCTAATCTCCTGCTGCTGTTAGCTCACATTTATCACAGCAGTATCTGCTTACCTTTGATTCAAGATCCCTACATCAGGGACCCAGGGTGGTATTTGTCTGTGAACTGCTGCGTATGCCTATGGGATTGTATAAGTAAATAAATATAATTAATAATCATCTGACTTCAGAGCAGCATTGGCAGGGAGGTAAATGTAGCCTTCATAGAATTAAAAACAAAATCAGGAAAAAGGTATGCTGGTATGAAGGGAAATAATTGTGTTCAAGCTGCTTGAAAATTATTCTGCAAACATTTTTGGGGTGGTTTTGAGCAGATCAGAGGCACTGAGTTTGTCTGTAAATCAGAATTTTGACCAAAACCATCTAAAAATAGCTTTTTCAAAAGATGTCTACATTTTTTATCAATTAAAATGCAGATGAAAATAAAATGCCACAGGGTCCTGGCCCTGCTTCAGTGTCTGACCTAGAAGGGAGCAACCCAGTCCCTGCAACACCAAGACTGAAGCAGAGGGAGGGACAAATTAGTGTGATTTCCTGGCAAAAAAGGTTTCATGGCATTTTTTTAAATCCTTTGGCATGCGAGCAAACCAGGGGCATCTTGGACTTTCTCAGGGTTTGCCGTAGGGATAAGCGCTGAAGGGGCAGGTGTCTGCGCCGCTGTGGCGGCCGTGCGGGGCTGGAGCAGCGGAGGAGCTGGCAGGGTAGCGGCTGCGGATGGCACCAGTTTCCCGGCGGCTGCGGTGAGCTGGCGGCTGCAGTGAGCCA